TCCACCCCTCTTTCTGGTAAACACAAATGCCTTATAGCAAAATTAAAACAGTAATAATAAAATTAAATAAATAATTTTTAAAAGAAATACTTTATTTAACTTTTTAAATATTGCCTTGACCAGATAGGGACAGAGTGAGTTAGTGAGTGAGTGAGAGAGAGAGAGAGATGGAAAGAGAGAGAGCAAGCTGCTAGATCTGGGACTGCAGTCCCCATATGGGAGTCCAGCATGCTTAACCACCAACCATGCCACCTGCTGGCCCCTAAATAAATAATTTTATTAAAAAAAAAAAAAAGACAGAATTGGAGAGGCTTTCTCTAACACCCCATACTCTGTCACTGCTTCCTTAACCTGTTGTACATTTGTTTTTAGCTTGAGGTGTTACATGTGTATGATCGTTCATTGCTTCCTCACACCATGTAATCTCTACCAGATCCTTTCTATTTGACTTTCATGTCCCCAGAGCCTAAAATGGTGTCTGGCTGTAGTAAGTACTTAAAACCGAGCAAGAACCCCCTAATGTATTTTCTAGGGTTCCTAAAATATAAGGCCCATTTACATTGTAATGGCCCAGAGTAAGGAGTAAGTCTTCAGACTTTGATTATAATAATGACCAACATGGACCATGAGTGAGGGCCATTTGACCTCTAAAACTCTCACTTAAAGGGAAGAGGTTTTCATTTCAATATGTAAAATGTTTTATAGGCTAGAAGCTGCTGGTTGTGAGCTCAAAGACTCCAGGCTGAATGGTTCCAGACACCTAAATAAAAATTTGATTATCTAAAGCCTCACCAATCAAGAATGCCCATGAGATAATCACACCCTCTTAAACCAATCACTAAACTAATCATGCACCTAGGACCTCTGTCCTAATTTTTGTCCTTAAAAAGGCATGTGGGGAACATTTCGGGGAGACTGGGTCTTTTCAGCATGAGCTGCCCGCTCTCCTTGCTTTGCGGTTTACAATAAAGCTGTACTTTCCCTCATCGTACCGTGTGCCTACGGCGTGGTTTTATAGCGTTTGGACGAGCAAACCTGATTTGAGTTCGGTAACACACTGAATACATTTGGCTGTTCATTTGATAGACACAAAGCACCTTTTTTGACCTCAGTGAAATAGGTAGACCTACTAGTACTGTTTCTTTAATGTGATTGAGTGATGGGACAGCCTGGAGAGTTTGATCCATATCATTGTGTATGAGAGCATGGTGATACATCTTCAGCTTTTATTATGCTGCGAAAGTGTCGTATGTGGGCTACTTGGTTTTTGGTTTGCAATAGTGAACAGTCAGGCTTAATATCTATAATAAGTAATTGCATTTTTTACTAACATGGTTTAACTTTTTAAAATCTTAGATATTTTTGAAGATTATGCTTCTCCCACTACAGCAGCCCAGACTCTCTTATATACTGCTGCAAAGAAAAGAAAAGAGGTATATAGATTCTTTTTTAATCTGAAACTGAAAGGTGGCCTGTGTTGATTTGACCCTCTAATATACCCCTTGTATTTGAAAAGTTATATTCCTATTGGTTATAACCTGTGAATTTAAGAATATTTGTTGTCCTAGTGAGGAAAATGATGAAGAATTCTTTTTTTTAATTACCCAAGAGTACGTGCTGGTCAAAGCGAAAGCACCCCCAATGGGATGTGGTTACACTGCAATTCTTTTTTTTTTTTTAAGAGGTTTTTGCTATAGGGCGCATGCGCTTGCTAGACAGACAGAGACAGAGAGACAGAAAGTGAGAAATCACCCCCCAGGGGGGATGGCCACGCCACAATCCCTTCTCCTCCATTCTCCTGGGGGGATCTTGGGCACACACGCACATGCACCCAGCGTGAGGTTTAAGCCACCGGGTCCGGGACGTGAAGCACGGTCAACTATGTGGAAGTCCAGCGACATAGACAGTATGTTAACTGCTGGTCCCTACACTACAATTCTTTTCCCTCCGTTTTTCCACCCTGTCAGAATATTGGACATGTACACACACACACACACACACACATATACTTGGCATGTTTTTCAAGCTGCCAGGGCCAGGATTAGAACTATGATATGGTATCCAGTTCCCTTTGCACAGGGCTTAACTGCTGCAGTATGGGACTAACCCAATTAATTTGTTTTTAATAAATTGTACTTTTTTTGGTTTAATTTGCCAGAAGATGCGAACCCTCATTGGAGAGAGACAGAGAGAGGAAAAGAGATGGGGAAGGGTAGTGGTCTCCCATAGGGAATGATCATGCCACAATACCTTCTCTGTCAAGTTGGGATTTTGGGCATGCATGCACTCATACCCAGTGTGTTTCTCAAGCCACCCGGCCAAGACTCAGACTGGATGGTTGGCTGTGTCGGATCCTACTCACATAACCACCAGGTCACAGGCCTTACTGAGCTTGTAGTTGCTTAATAAAACACAAGAAAAGACTTTACTTTCGTAAGCTTGTGCACCATATTTAATACTGTAGTAGGACAATGGAAGTTCATGTAGACTAACATTGATTCTTCTGTTTCTTTAGGTGTTGCCCAAAATGATGGCGTTCTGTTACCAAATCCTGACAGACCCAAACTTTGACCCTAGGAAGAAGGATGGAGCCCTGCACGTGATTGGCTCTCTTGCTGAGATTTTATTGAAGGTTAAGATAATCAGAATTTATTTTACTTAATAAAACTATGAAAGATAAATGAAACAGTGCGAGAGTTATGGATAATTTAAAAATGGTGACTACTTCTGGAAATTGAGTTGACTGTAAATATCCTTACTGTCACCTGTTTTTTAAATTAAAAAACAATTTGACCTTTTTGTTAGGTTTTTTTGGCATGAAACTATTTTATGTCAAAAGCTATACAAGATGACTTTAGTGTTTTTATACCAAAATCAAACAGTATCAAACTGATTGTAAGATGCTATCTCCGTCTTATTTTAAAAGATATGATATGTTTGTTTTTTTTTTTGAGAGGTTTTTGCTATAGGGCACGTGCGCTCGCCAGACAGAGACAGAGAGAGAGAAAGCGAAAAATCACCCCCCAGGGGGGATGGCCACACCGCAGTCCCTTCTCTGTTCTCCTCTCGGGACCTGAACATAGACAGTATGTTAACTGCTGGTCCCTACACTGCAATTCTTTTCCCTCCGTTTTTCCACCCTGTCAGAATATTGGACATGTACACACACACACACACACACACATATACTTGGCATGTTTTTCAAGCTGCCAGGGCCAGGATTAGAACTATGATATGGTATCCAGTTCCCTTTGCACAGGGCTTAACTGCTGCAGTATGGGACTAACCCAATTAATTTGTTTTTAATAAATTGTACTTTTTTTGGTTTAATTTGCCAGAAGATGCGAACCCTCATTGGAGAGAGACAGAGAGAGGAAAAGAGATGGGGAAGGGTAGTGGTCTCCCATAGGGAATGATCATGCCACAATACCTTCTCTGTCAAGTTGGGATTTTGGGCATGCATGCACTCATACCCAGTGTGTTTCTCAAGCCACCCGGCCAAGACTCAGACTGGATGGTTGGCTGTGTCGGATCCTACTCACATAACCACCAGGTCACAGGCCTTACTGAGCTTGTAGTTGCTTAATAAAACACAAGAAAAGACTTTACTTTCGTAAGCTTGTGCACCATATTTAATACTGTAGTAGGACAATGGAAGTTCATGTAGACTAACATTGATTCTTCTGTTTCTTTAGGTGTTGCCCAAAATGATGGCGTTCTGTTACCAAATCCTGACAGACCCAAACTTTGACCCTAGGAAGAAGGATGGAGCCCTGCACGTGATTGGCTCTCTTGCTGAGATTTTATTGAAGGTTAAGATAATCAGAATTTATTTTACTTAATAAAACTATGAAAGATAAATGAAACAGTGCGAGAGTTATGGATAATTTAAAAATGGTGACTACTTCTGGAAATTGAGTTGACTGTAAATATCCTTACTGTCACCTGTTTTTTAAATTAAAAAACAATTTGACCTTTTTGTTAGGTTTTTTTGGCATGAAACTATTTTATGTCAAAAGCTATACAAGATGACTTTAGTGTTTTTATACCAAAATCAAACAGTATCAAACTGATTGTAAGATGCTATCTCCGTCTTATTTTAAAAGATATGATATGTTTGTTTTTTTTTTTGAGAGGTTTTTGCTATAGGGCACGTGCGCTCGCCAGACAGAGACAGAGAGAGAGAAAGCGAAAAATCACCCCCCAGGGGGGATGGCCACACCGCAGTCCCTTCTCTGTTCTCCTCTCGGGATCTTGGGCACGCACACACACACACGCCCGGCGTGAGTTTTAAGCCACCGGGTCCGGGACGCGAACTGTGGTCGACTACGTGGGAGTCCAGCAACATAGCCATTATGCTAACTTCTGGTCCCAAGATATGATAGGTATTGAATAGGTAAATTTTTTACAAAATTGTGAACAGAAGTATATTATTTTCATGTCATAATAGAAATATATTATTAAGAAATGATTCTTACATGTGAAAAATGATTGATGGAAGTAATTTTTGTTTCCTAACAGAAGAGTTTATTTAAGGACCAAATGGAATTGTTTCTACAGAATCACGTATTTCCGTTATTATTGTCTAACCTGGGATATCTTCGCGCTAGAGTAAGTTTTTCATATTTTTGTTAATTTTTTTTTTTTTAAGAGATTTTTGCTATAGGGCGTGTGCGCTCACTGGAGAGACAGAGAGGCAGAAAGTAAGAAATCACCCCCCAGGGGGGATGGCCACACCGCAATCCCTTCTCCTCCATTCTCTCAGGATTTGGGGCATGTACACACATGTGCCTGGCCTGAGTTTCAAGCCACCAGGTCTGCAACTTGAACCACGGTCGGCCATGCGAGAATCCAGAGACATAACCATTATGTCATCTGTTGATCCCTCTGTTAGATATCTTAAAATTTTAGTCTGTAAGATAACTATTGAAATAAGTGTTTTTGGGGCCAGCAGGAGGCATGGTGGTTAAGGCACTGGATACGCCCTCATCGCTGACTGTAGTTCAAGTCCTGGACCTGGTGGCTTGCTTTCTTATTTTCCCTCCTCTCTCTCTCTCTCTCTCTGGTCAAATTAAAATAAATGAATGAATAAATAAAATTAAACAATTATTTTAAAAAAAGAGAAATAATTTTTGATAAATCACTGTTTACCACTTGTTAGTCCAAAATGATGCTGCATTAGAATGTCCATTACAGTCACAACAGTTGAACAAAGAACAAACTAGTAAAGAAAGGGATTTATGGATTTTGTTTTAAAAGAATTATTTATTCAATTGTTTAATTTTAATTTTTAATATTTATTTATTTATTTGTTTACAATTTCTGCTATAGGGCATGTGCACTCACGAGAGAGAGAGAGAGAGAGAGAGAGAGAGAGAGAGAGAGAGAAAACGAGAAAGCAAGCTGCTAGACCTGGGATTCAAACCATGGTCTAACATGGGGGAGTCCAACACTTTAACCACCACATTACCTGCTGGTCTGGATATTTAAATTATTTTATGTAACGTAATTTATTTATTTAAATTTGATCAGAGAGGGACAAAGTGAGAGAGAGAGGGAAAGTGAGAAAGTAAGCTGCCAGGTTCAGGACTCAAAATTGCAGTTGGCCGTGTGGGAGTCCAAGCACTCTTAACCACCATGCCACCTGCTGGCCTGATGTATATTTTTAAAATTTGCTCTAGGGTGTGTGCACTCACCAGAGAAGTGGGGGAGGGGAGGAGGGAGGGCGGGAGAGAGAGAAAGCGAGCATGCCCACCACCCCCCACCACCGGGGGATATGTCCAGGTTGTAATCTCTTCTCCATTTTCCTCTCTGGATTTTGGGCATGCACACACACATACTCGAAGTGTTTTTTAAGCTGCCTGGTCGTGAACTTAAATCGCACAATCAGCTGTGTGGAATCCAGCTGCCTTAACCATCACACTATGGGCTAGCCTGGGATTTGTGGATTTTAATTATAGCTCATTTCATTTTATTTATCACCCTGCCTCACTTAATGCATCTGTAATACATGAAGTGAGAGGGATGATTTTACAACTACAGTATAATGTAAATTCATAAACCGATTCATTTTCAGTGTCTAAATGGCATGGAATTCTAGTTTGGCTGGACACCTGATTAAGATATATAGTATGTTAGGTAGATTTCTGAGCCAGCAGGTGGCATGGTGGTGAAGGTGCTGGATTCCCATAGGGCCAATCAAGGTTCGAGTCTCGGACAGTGGTTTGAGAATCATGGTGGGCATGAGGACATGTGTGGCCAAAATCCCAGGAGAAGACTGGGGGAGAGGGGATTGCTGTGTGGCTATCCTGCATGGGGGTTGATTTCTCACTTTCTGTCTCTCTGTTTCTCTCTGGAATCCATAAACAAATAAAAAAGATTTGCCTTAGTAAAATGGAGAAAATAATAATCCACATAAATTTGCTTCTGCTCTAAGTATATTTCTAGACTCAATATTTTATGGAGAAATAGAACTGGAAAAGACTAGTATATCGTTTTGTAAATATCTCAGCATAGAAAATGTCTTGGTAGAAACAACATATGCTAACAGTGCCTGGTACTAGAGAGCATTTTATAAACACGGTAGTCACTAGGGAAATATTTGGGTAAGCATAGCTTAGGGATGCTGGCTACTACACAGGAGCATTTTTATACCTGGGCTGCTACCTTTGAGAAGCTGTATGAGTTGTAATTCCTTGCTAAAAGTCTTTAGTAACTCAGATCCGTTTTTGTTGATTGTGTTTTATGTGCAGACAGAATCAAATGCATTAAGGGCAGATACTGCTTCACCCAAATGTGAAGGCCGGCAAATGAATTTCAGACACCGGCTTGGAATAGCTTTTATGTATAACAAGTTAGTTATGAATTACTACGTGTTTCAAAAGCATTGACAGACATTTTTTTCAGAAGCGCTTACGTTTAAAGAAAAATTGCTAGAGGATGTGTGTGCTTTCCAGAAAGAGAGAGACAGAGAAGGAAGGCAGAGCTCACTGGCCGGTGGGTCATGGTCATGCCACAGTCTTTTTCCATTATTCCCCCTTTCTGTTGAGATTTTGGGCATAGCATGTCCACATGCCTGGCCTGCTTTTCAGTTGCTGGTTGGGATTTGAACTGTACTTGACTGTGTGGGTTCTGGTTTCTTTAACTGCTGAGCTACAGAGCTGGCCCTAGGAGCCTTGAATTAGGCTCCTTTTTCCTGTGAAAAATGTTATTATATATAGGTAATTTATTTATTTAGGAATTAATTTTTTTTAATTGCCAGAGGGCATGTATGCTTGCCAGAGGGAGAGAGAGAACCCTCCAATGAGGGGTGGAGAGGTTGCAGTTCATTTTTTTTTTTTTTTTTTTTTCATTTTTTCATCCTGTCAGGATTTTACGTGCTCATGTGCCTGGCATCTTTTCATGCCCCCTGACTGAGATTCAAACCAATGTTAGCCTTATGGTATTGGCTCTCAATGGCTGACCCTTCATCATCATGCTGTAGTTCTGGCCCTATTCATAATTTAGAAGTAATAAAACTGTCTTTCCTATAAAAAGAGTGGGAGGGCCAGCAGGTGGTATAGTGATTAAAGCATTGGACTCCCATGTGATGGACTGTGGTTAGAGTCCCAGACCTGATGCTTGAAACTCACGTTGGGTGCTTGTGCATGCATGCCCCAAATCCAAAGAGAATGGAGGAGAAGGGATTGCAGCATAGCCATTCTTCCTGAGGGATGATTTCTCACTTTCTGTCTATTTCTCTGGCAAGTATACCTGCCCTGTAGCAAAGATCTTAAATGAAAAAAAAAAAAAAAAAGTGGGAAATAAGGAAGTTAGAAATTAACACTGGGGCCAGCAGGGGATGTGGCGGTTAAGGTGCTGGACTCCCACATGGCTGACCATGATTCAACTCCAGACCTGGTGGCTTGCTTTCTCACTTTCTTGCTCTCTCTCTCTCTCTTGTCAAATAATTAAAAAAAAATTAAATAATTCTTTTAAAAATAGAAACTAAGGCTAATATTCCACCCTCCAAAAACAAGTCTTTGTAGAATTAATATTATTTTACTAAGTAGTTCTTATAAATGTGACCAGAACTCCATAATCTTCAAAGATCCTTATTTAGTTCCTTGTTACAATGCAGTCCTGCTGGGTACTTCATGCTTTCAGTTCTTTGAAGTTTCATAATGAGCTCAACCTGAGAAATGCAGTGGAATTAGCAAAGAAGAGCCTGATTGAAGATAAGGAGATGCCTGTCAAAGTTGAAGCTGCCCTTGCTCTTCAGTCATTGATTTCTAACCAGATACAAGGTAAAGCCCAAACTACCTTTTAACGAAGTGTCTTTAAAAAAGTTTTTGGAGATGACTTTCTCCAGTAATTTTGTTGACTTCCTTCCCTAATGAAGATGATTCTTCAAGTCTGAGGGTGTAGGGTTCAGATTTCTGAGCTTTTGTCCCTTCAGAATTTCATAAAGATTTATCCTTGTGGTTTTAGAAGTTCTTGTTGACTATGATTTTCTAAAAAAAAAAAAAATTAGTTAATAACTGTTAGACATATGGTAGACCTGGAATTGAACCACAGGGTCAGTTTTTGTTTTACTATTAACTTGCCATGTAAACCTGGGCAAAGCACATGACCTGCCAAAGCTCAGGTAGTCAGATATTTAAATGTGAGATGGTTGGACTGGATGGCTTTAAGATTCTTTTATTTTTTATTTTTTTAAGATTTTTGCCATATGATGCATGTACTTGCGGAAGAGAGCGAGCAAAAGTGAGAAATCACCCCCGGAGAGATGGCCAGGCTGCAGCCCCGTCTCTCCCATTCTCCTCTGGGGATTTTAGTCACACACTGTGCACACGTGCCTGTCATGATTTTCAAGCCTCCAGGTCCAGGACTCGAACTGTTGTTGGCCCTGTGGGAATCCTGCGCCTTAACCTCTACACCACCTGCTAGTCCCAGGGTTCCTTTTAACTCTAGAATTCTATGATTCTGTTAGTTCTGAAAATAGCAAGTAGTATTTTTAGTGAGTGGTAACAGAAATCTCTTACTCGTTTAGAAGAAGGCTCTGTTCAGAGTTCAAATAAATCTTTGAAAGTGAATTCAGCTTTATAAAGATCATGAATGTACTTTGCCTGTATTCAACAATATTAAGTAAGGGTATGAGACCTGGGAGAGTGGTTAAAGGAGATGAGTTTGGGTATGCAACGGGCCCCATCCATATTGGGTTAAGTCTTTACATACATGACTTTTTATACTTGTGTTCATGTTCTCTAACTCATACATGACAGCCTTTGTGTGTATAATTAGAATTTTTCGATGGGGCTATTGGCAATCTGGGTAGGACATTTCTTTCCTCAGAACTGCTTATTCTTCTCTTACTTACGGGCAAATTGATGTATTGGTGAACTTTATTTTGTACAACTTTGTAGTTTATTCATACACAAGCATGTATCTAGAACCTTACCTAGGTGTATCCTTTGTCACTTTATCTTCTGATCCAATTAATTCATTTCGTCATCTACGAATGGCTAATTTTTACTATCTTTGTTTTATTGCATTAGCTAAGGAATACATGAAGCCACATGTGAGGCCTATTATGCAGGAGCTGTTGCATATTGTTAGAGAGACAGAGAACGATGATGTTACTAATGTTATCCAGAAGATGATATGTGAATACAGTCAAGAGGTAGCCTCCATTGCTGTTGATATGACCCAACATTTGGTAAGACTGGGCAATATTTTATGTTGGTTTGGTATAGAAGCCTTGAATTGGGTCATCAGAAAGTCAACATATTTTTCTATGTTTTTCTATGTAAAATGCATCATGACTTTGCTGACGACCCAATAGAGTAAACTACAGAGTTTATATTCTTCTTTTTTTTTTTTTGGAGAGGTTTTTGCTATAGGGTGCAAACAGAGAGAGACAGAAAGCGAGAAATCACTCCCCAGGGGGGATGGCCACGCCACAGTCCCTTCTCCTCCATTCTCCTCTCGGGATCTTGGGCACACATGAACACGTGCCCAGCATGAATTTTAAGCCACCGAGTCCGGGACGCGAATTGCGGTCGCCTACGTGGGAGTCCAGCGACATAGCCGTTATGCTAACTGCTGGTCCCTCCAGAGTTTATATTCTGAGATTTCATTTGATGTCCCGTGATAGGAGCATTCTAAATTTTCACTTTCCGGGCTTTGAGTCTGGAAAGGCATTTCCTTTAGTCTGGAGATGCTTACTTCTTTGACAACTTTGTCCCTGCTATTTTCTTCTGTTTTATGTTTCCTGATATGGAAAGTTTGACTTGGACTAAGTCTTTAGTATCTTTACCTTTTTTCTCCTGTTTTTCATTTCTGTTCCTTTTATTTAATTGTCTAGGTGATTCATTGACTTCTTTTTTAAAAAAAGTTATTTATTTAATTCCATTTGTTGTTGTTATTTTTTAATTTGACCAGAGAGAGAGAAAGGGAAAGCAAGAAAGCAAGCCACCAGGTCCAGGACTTGAACCAGGGCCAGTCATGTGGGAATCCAGCACCCCTAACTACTACGCCATTTGCCAGCCCCAACTTTATCGTCTAAACCTGTTATGTTTTTCTTTGTAATGTTACTTGATTTCAGTTTTTTTTGTTTTTATTTAGAGAGATTTTTGCTATTGGGCGAGTGCACTCACCAGAGACACAGAGACAGAAAGAGAGAAACCAAGGAATCATCCCCCTCCCCCCCGCCCGGGGGGATGGCCACACTGCAGTCCCCTCTTCTCCATTCTCCTCTTGGGATTTTGGGCATACATACACACGTGCCCATCATGAATTTCAGGCTGCCAGGTCCAGGATTAGAACTGCTATCGGCCATGTGGGAGTCCAGTGCCTTAACCACTACATCACTTGCTGGCCCCTGTTTTCCTGGATTTTAAATTTATTTGCTTGATGACAACCTGAAGTCAAGTATTAGCTATCTGTATAGAATAGTTCATATATAGACCACTTCAATAACTTGGTAAGAAAAAATGTCTGTATTTAAAAACCAATAGGTTCTGTCATTATAGGAAAAGAGATGACAGTCAGCAAAGTGCATTCCGTAAAGTTTGAGCAGTGCTGGCATTTAGATGTGTGACGCTGCCTGTAGTTGGGGGTGTAACAGTACCAGTTGTTGAACATTTTAATGTCATGTTCATAGGCGGAGATATTTGGCAAAGTTCTTCAAAGTGATGAATATGAAGAAGTTGAAGACAAAACAGTAATGGCTATGGGAATTTTGCATACTATTGATACTATCTTGACGGTTGTAGAAGATCATAAAGAGGTAAGATTTTGAAGTGCAGGGACACTTCGAAAGTCTTGGAAAAATGGAATTGAAGTATGAATTTATTCTGGTGCAAAAAACTTTTAAAATCTGTTTTCTGATTTTTTTTCGTAATGTACCTTTTCCTTGCACTATCAATAGTATAAGACTCCACATATATCCCTTTGCATTAAGTGAGTTCGGTTCATCACGTCTGCTGTGTGGCAGGCAGGCCATGTCTTAGGGCTGTGTCAAAGTGAGCTCTGCCTGCTGGGAACCCATCATTTAATCTTCGTTGTAGAGAGTGACAGTCACTGTGGTGAGTAATGGAACAGAATTCGATGTCACAAGTACTGTGAGAGCAGAAAGGATTAAGAGCAAGAGCTTGAATTCCAGAATCGTACTGGGACAGGAGTGAACACAGATGTGTAGGCAGTGCATCCATGAGCTGATGTGGTCTTACTGAGGCCAGTGTGAGGTAATTAGAGCAGATACTGGTCTTCTTTTGCAGAAGAGAAGAACAAGGTTCATGTTAGATCAAGAGACCTGTTCATGCTCACAGAGCTGTAATAAAGGTTGTATACTTGGATTGGTAGGCAGATCATTCTGAGAATGTATGGTTGTCAAGGAATGTACAGGTTAATACTGAGAAGAACTAATCAGATGTAGCTTCCTTACCACACACAGAAAACTCAAAGGCTCCAACTAAATGGCTCTGCCAGGATCATGGATAATTAGAGGCAAAACCAACAGGAACCTTGGTCCCCTTTAATTTTGAATTCTAGCTTATTAAAAGCAAACTTGGAAAATGCTTTCTTAAGAGGAAAAGCCAGCTCTTTCTGCCATCTTTCTGTGCCACCGTAATGTGCGCATGAATGTCCTGGCTGGTGCCCTCAAGAGCATCGACAATGCTGAAAAGGGAGGCAAACGCCAGGTTCTTATTAGGCCGTGCTCCCAAGTCATTGTCCGCTTTCTAACTGTGATGATGAAGATGGTTACATTGGCGAATTTGAAATCATTGATGACCACAGAGCTGGAAAAGTTGTTGTGAACCTCACTGGCTGGTTAAACAAGTGTGGAGTGATCAGCCCCAGGTCTGATGTGCAACTGCAAGATCTAGAGAAATGGCAGAATAATCTGCTCCCATCACGTCAGTTTGGTTTCATTGTACTGACCACCTCAGCTGGCATCATGGACCATGAAGAAGCCAGATGGAAACATACAGGAGGGAAAATCCTGGGATTCTTTTTCTAGGGAAGTAAAACACATATACACATAAAATGCTGCATTGGACTCTGGTGCTTCCAAAAAAAAAGAAAGAGGAAAAGCCACGTGTGTATGAATATATGCACAAATATTTAATGCTTAAAAAGCAAAGTTGGAAATCTGAAATAGATGGCATTTTTGTTTGTTTTATTTTTTAAAATAATTATTTTATTTTATTTATTCATTTATCTTTTTTAATTTGACCAGAGAGAAACAGAGAGTGAGAGTGAGAGAAAGAGAAAGTGAGAAAGCAAGCCACCAGATTCAGGACTCGAACCCTGGTCAGCCATGTGGGAGTGTCCAGCGCCTTAACCACCACACTACCTGCTGGTCCTCTTTTTTGTTTTTTTTTTGTTATTTAAAATTTGTTATAGGATGTGTGCACTTCCTGGAGAGAGACAGAGCAGGAAAGTGAGATTGTACCTCCTGGAGGGATGGCCACTCTGTAGTACCTTCTCCTCCATTCTCTTCTTAAGACTTTGGGCACACATGCACATGTGCCTACTATATTTTTCAAGCTACTGGGTCTGGGACTTGAGCTGTGCATTTGGCTCTGTGGGATCTAGCCTCACACCAACTGACCTGTTGTTAGATGGTTTTAAGTATATTGGCAATTTATTTTTAAAGAATTATTTATTTAATTTTATTGATTATTATTATTTTTTATTTTGACCAGAGAGAGACAGAAAGAGAGGGAGAGAAGACGAGGGAAAGTGAGAAAGCAAACCACCAGGTTTGGGATTTGAACTGTGGTTGGCCATGTGGAAGTTCAGCGCCTTAACCACCATGCTACCTGCTGGACCTTTAGCAGTTTTTAAAACCGAATCCTAAAACATTAGTCTATGAAGTTATATATTTGATTTGTTATACAGTATTACCTTGTATGATGTATCAAATTTAGTCAGTCCCTGGTTAATGAATGTAATTCAGCGGTCCCATGTTTAAAATGAACATTTGGTTGTAACTAATCACAGACATTGCTGTAATGAATGTTTTTGTACATGTCATTTTGCACACATGATAGTATGTCTGGAGGGTAAATTTCTGAAGTGGACTTGCTGAGCCTAAGTTTGAAACGTCAGCAACTAGTTCTTCATAGCGGATACCAATTTACACTCCACAAGTCAGAGTACAGCGATGGCTTTCTTCCCATCCTCATGATTTTTGTCATTTCCCGGTATGATAGGTCTAAAGTGTTCATGTTGCACTTTGAATTTACACTCTCATCATGGATTAATGTGAACGTGTTTTTGTAAATTTAAGGCCTGTATTTCTTTTTCATAACCTTTACCTGTTTTTTGTGTTGATTTGTTGATTTCACTTAAGAGAGTACAGCGATGGCTTTCTTCCCATCCTCATGATTTTTGTCATTTCCCGGTATGATAGGTCTAAAGTGTTCATGTTGCACTTTGAATTTACACTCTCATCATGGATTAATGTGAACGTGTTTTTGTAAATTTAAGGCCTGTATTTCTTTTTCATAACCTTTACCTGTTTTTTGTGTTGATTTGTTTATTTCACTTAAGAATTTGCTCTTTGTCAATGATAGTACTTGAGAATATTTCTCTTAATTTTACACTGATCTTTCACTTCCCTCTGCCCCATGTAGAAGTTTTTAATTTTTGTAATTGAATGGTTCTGTTTTAAAAATTCTCACTTCTGAACTTTGAGTCACTGTAAGGTTATACAGTGATTCTCTTTGTTTCTTTTAGTACTTTCTTTATGGTTTAGTACTGCACATTAAAATCTTCGATCTATTCGAAATTTATTTTGTGAGACCAGCAGAAGGTGTAATGGTTACATCGCTGGGCTCCCACATAGTTGATTGCAGTTCAAGTCCTGGGTCCAGCGGCTTAAAATTCATGTCGGCCACATGTGTGTGCATGCCCAAAATCCCAAGAGGAGAATGGAGAAGGGATTGTGGCATGGTCATCCCCACTGGGAGGTGATTTCTTGCTTTCTGTCTCTCCGTCTCTGTCTTCTCCAATTTATGCACACATCCTAATAGCAAAAAAAAAACTCAAAAAAAGAAAAGAAAAGAAATTAATTTTGGTGTGAACTGTGAGGCTAGGAGCTCAATGATTTGTACATTTTTTTTAATGGATTTAACTCTCATTACCATAACTGATCTACTTTTTAGAATTTACTGTATTCTTACATAGTCAATTTTTCATTTGAAGTTTAGAATTAACTTGTCAAATTCCCCTCTCAAAAATTTTCTGTTGGTATTTTTATTGCAATAATATTAAATGTATATATTAACAGAGTTGTGAATTTTCAACTGAATATTTAAAATTTGTCTTTAGATTACGCAGCAGCTAGAGAATATCTGTCTACGAATCATTGATCTCGTTTTACAGAAACATGTAATTGGTAAGTTCAAAGCTTGACTAAAAGGGTAAATAGAGAATTTTAATTTTTTTTTGGAGAACTCAATGCATTTTTAACCCTTCAAATATAATAAGTTGTGCAGTTCTATGAAAGAAACTTGCATTCTTTTCCATTTTTGTTTGTAATATGAACTATGTTTTTATTGAGAGTTAAAATTATACATCCAATAGAGGCATTTTCGTCACTGAACTTTTGAAGGACAGAGAAGAATTAGGATGAGGTTTTGGTGAGGTCACTTTATTGTGGGATCGAACACTGTTTAATAATAGGCATTTTTTTAATCAGAAGTGTGAATTAATTGCCCATTGTCTGTGAGAGTACCTGACTTCTGAGTGGAATTACTGTGTAATGCTGGGTGTTTGAGGCTGTTGGGGATTCATAAGAAGAGGGCACTTTTCCAGAGTATGCAAGGGTTCTGAAGATGTCAGTCCAAACCTTCTGGGCATGAGAAAGATACATACTGTCTAGCACTCGGACAGATGTAAGGAAAGCATTTTCTGCTTACAAGTTTTGGTTTTCAAACTTTTTATTGTTTACCACATTAGTAAAAAGTTGAACACAAACTTTTTTTTAAAGAAGGATTTATTTTTATTTTATTTATTCATTCATTTATTTTAATTTGACCAGACACACACACACACACACACACACACACACACACACACACAGAGAGAGAGGTAGGGGGGGATGAGAAAGAAAGCCACTAGGTCTGGAACTTGAACTGTGGTCAGCCAGATGGGAGTGTCTAGCGCCCCAACTACCACGCCACTTGCTGACCCTGAACATATACTTCTAATATGTGTGAATATTATTTGAATATAACGTGATATTATAAGCAATGGAATTTTAGTTATCCTTAAGAAGAAAGTCCTGGGGCCAGTAGGTGGTGTTAGTGTTGTACTCCCACATGGTCGACTGTGGTTTGAGTCTCAGACCTGGTGGCTTGCCTTCCCACTTTCTCTCTTTCTCTCTCTCTCTGTTTCTATCGCTCTCTGGTGAGCACACGTGCTCTATAGCAAATTTTAAAAATAATAACAAAAAGTAAATAATTTTTTAAAAAAAGAAGGAAGTCCTGTCATTTGCAACAACACAGATGAACCTGGAGGACATCATGCTAAATGAAATAAACTGGGCACAGAAAGACAAACACCTCATGGCCTCACCTGCATGTGGAAAGAAGTTGAACTTCTATCAAGAGAGACTAGACTGGTGGTTACCAGAGCATAGGGAGATGTTGGTCAGAATAGTGACTATAGTTAATAACAATGTACTTAAAAATTGTGAAAGGTAGATTTTAAATGTTCTCACTGCAAAACAATAAGTATGTGAAGTAATAGATTTGTTCATTAGCATGACTTAACCATTACACAGAATGTACATACTTCAAAACATTATGTTGTATGTCATAAATTTGTAAATTTTTGTCAGTCTAAAAATTCTAAAAAAATTTTGTCAGGGGTGGCAGGTGGCATGGTGGTTGAGGATGCTGGACTCCCACATGGCCGACCGTGGTTCGAGTCCTGGACTTGGTGGCTTTCTCTCTCTCTCTCTCTCACTCACTCACTCACTCACTCTGTTCCTCTCTGGTCAAATTAAAATGAATGAATGAATGAATAAAGTTAAAATAATTCTTTAAAAAATTTTATCAACCTAAAAAATTAATTAGTAGCAGTAATTTTTTTTCTTTAATCTGTTTTTCAGTAAAAAGGCCAGTGGTTCTCAGGGGTTGGGGGGTGAGACAGAGGGAAGTATAAGCAGGTGGAATACAGGATTAATGGGACAATGAAACTATGCATGGTACAGTAATAAGGGTAAGTATATGGGTTTTAACCCATAGATTGTACAATGCAGAGAGTGAACTATAATCTAAGCTGTGTGTTTTTTAGATAATAGTTTTTAAAAAAGAATATCCAAAAGTTTTGTTCTGACTTACTTCAATTAGCATAATCCTTCATCCACGTTGAGAATGATAGAATTCTGGAACAAGCAGATGGTTTAGTGGTTATTTTGCTGGACTCCTATGTAGTCAACTGCAGTTCGAGTCCCAGACCCAGTGGCTTAAATTCACGCCGAGTGCCCAAGATCCTGAGAGGAGAATGGAGGAGGAGGGATTGCAACATGGCCATCCTCCTTAGGGAGTGATTTTTCACTTTCTGTCACACTCTTTTCTCAGGCGAGCACATGTGCCCTATAACATAAATTTGTCTAAAAAAAAGCAAAAGAAAATGATAGATTTCCCTTTTTTTTTTTAAGGCTGAGTAGTATTCCATTATGTATAGGTACCACATTTTCTTTATCCATTCATTCATCAATGGATGTAGCTTTTTCTGTATGTTGGCTACAGTGAATAATGATGCAGTGAACACTGGTGTGCAGCTATTTCTTTGGGATTCTAATTCCAATTTCTTTGGACATACCCAAGTAGGATTGCTAGATCATATTATTGTTTAATTTTAATTTATTTTTTTTTTTGGAGAGATTTGCGTTATAGAGCATGTGCGCTCGCCAGACAGAGAGAGACATAGAGACAGAAAGCGAGAAATCACCCCCCAGGGGGGATGGTCATGCCGCAATCCCTTCTCCTCCATTCTCCTCTCGGGATCTTGGGAATGCACGCGCACGCACCCTGCGTGAGTTTTCAGCCACCAGGTCCGGGATGCGAACTGCGGTCGACTACGTGGGAGTCCAACGACATAGCCATTACGCTAACTGCTGGTTTCCTAATTTTAATTTTTTTGAGGTACTTCTATACTGTTTTCCAGTCTCTGCGCCAGTTTGCAATTCCGTTAACAGTACAAGGGTCCCCTTTTCTACTCAGCCTCTCCACCATTATCTTGTCTTTCTGATCATAGTCGTGCTAACAGGTGTGAGGTGTCTCATTATGTATTAATTTGCATTTCCCTGCTGATGAGTGATGCCCAGTGCTCTTTCACTGATGACCCTTTGCATGCCTTGTGAGAAATGTTTATTCAGATTTTTTGTTTTTTTTTTTTTAAAAAAAGAACTGTTTATTTATTTAATTCCATTTGTTGTTGTTGTTACTATTTAATTTGACCAGACAGAGAAAGAGAGAGAAAGGGAATGCAAGAGAGCAAGCTGCCATGTCCAGGACTTGAACCGTGGTTGGCCATGTGAGAATCTAGCACCTTTAACCACCATGCCACTTGCCGGCCCCACCTTTGTTGATTTTTAAAAAAATTTGCCAGAGGACACATCCACTCACTGGAGAGAGACAGACAGACAGAGAGAGAGAGAGAAAGAGAGAGAGGGAGGGAGGGAGGGAAGGAAAGTGAGAGAACATTACCCACAGGGCATGGTCATACTGCACTCCCTTCCCCTCCATTGTTCCCTCCCTTTGGGATTTTGAGCACACTTGGACACATGCCTGGTATGTTTCTCAAGCCTCCAGGTCTAGGACCAAGCCCTGTGGTTGGCTGCGTGGGTCCGAGCTGTCCTAGCCACCAAGCCAGGGGCTGGGCCTCTTTGCCTACTTTTAAACTGAGTTATTTATTTTCCTTCTATTGAGTTGTTTGAATTCCTTGTATGTTTTCCTTGTGTATTAAACCTTTTTCAGATGTAAGGTTTGTAACTATTTTCTTTTTTTTTGTTTTGAGAAGTTTTTGCTATAGGGCATGTGTGTGTGCTCGCCAGAAAGAGAAAGAGAAAAATCACCCCCCGCCCCGGGGGAATGGCCACACCGCAATCCCTTCTCCTCCATTCTCCTCTCAGGATCTTGGGCATGCATGCACATGCGCCCGGCGTGAGTTAAAGCTGCCGGGTCCGAGACTAGAACCGCGGTTGACTACGTCAGAGTTCAGTGACATAGCCATTACGCTAACTGCTGGTCCCAAGTTTGTAACTATTTTCTAGGTTGTCTCTTTACCCTGTTGAGTATTTTATTTTTGCTATGCAGAAGCTTTTTAGTTTCATATACTCTTATTTGTCTGTTTTGGCTTTTGTTGCCTGCAGTCATAATTAACAAATTAATTCTCCAGACCAGTGTCATGGAGCTTTCCCTCCTCTGTTTTTTACTAGTAGTTTTACAACTTCAGGTTTTACTATTTCAGTGTTTAATGCATTTTGAGTTGCTCTTTGCATGTGGTGTGGCATAAGGGTCTAATTTTCCCCTTCTGCATGTGGGTATCTAGGTTTCTTCGTGCCATTTATCAAAGAGACTATCCATTCCCCAACGTGTGTTCTTGCAGCATTATCAAAAATCAATTGACTGTAAATGTACGAATTTCTTTCTGAACTCTCTGTTTTTTTCTATTGGTCTGTGAGTCTGTTTTTATGCCAGTAGCATTGTAGAACTTACAGAAATTCTATATTCTGATGCATTTTTGTTATTGTTGCTGTAGTGTTCTTGTACTTGCTGGAGAAAGCGAGAGAGGGCTGGAAAGTGAGAACTCCCTCCCTCCCCCCAAGTGGGGATGGTCATGCTGCAGTTCCTTCTCCTCTTTTAGGCATGTGCACACTTGCTGATGTGTTTCTCAAGCTGAAACTTGTCTAAAGTGCACAGTTGACCACCCGGAATCCTGTGCCTTAACTACCACACCATCTGCTAGCCCCAGTATTCTGATATTGATACTTTGTGGCTTTTCAAGTGGTTTGTCTTACGTAACACATTATTTCCCAATATGCATGTATTTCCATCTTATTTTGCTTTCAGTAAGGTAAACATCTATATTACTAGCTTTCAAATGTATTTATTTTCCCATAATTCTAGAAAAATACAACTGTCCAAGTTTCCAGGGTGAATATCGGTTCTTTAATAGGAGAAAAAGGGAAAACTTGGAAGTTAGACTTGTTTGCTCAGTGCTAGGGTAGGACTTACTTGACATTTTTGTATTGAGATTTGAGTTCTTCGATTGCATCTTCAGGTATCATTTACTTTAGACAGGGGGCAATGATTAAAAAAATACATATATGAATATAAGAACATACCCTTTGTACTCTTTTACTTTAGAGTGGATATACTTGTCTCGAGGGAACTGGAGGATAATGTACAAATTTTAGAAGTCTTTTCAATGGACAAAATACTGCACAGAATATAAATGTTTGTAAAATGAGGTAGGCAAGTGTTTTAGCCCAGTATAATTAAACTCTCCAAAAAACACAGTTAAATATTTGTAAATTTAGTCTTTCACATGAGAGAAGTGTAATAAACCTATTTGATTTTGCATCTATATTTATAATATAGTAACTGTTTTTTTTTAATGGTAAGATTTTTAATAAACCTATTTGATTTTGCATCTATATTTCAAGTATAGTAGCTGTTTTTTTTTTAATGATAAGATTTATAAAAAACAAAATTTATTTATTTATCTGTTTATTACTTGAGATTTTCAAGCCACCAGATCTAGGACTCTAATAAGCACAGTCAGCCATGTGGGAATCTAGCACCTTAACCACACTGCCATCTGCTGGCCCCTAATACAGTCTTACAGATACACATTTTATTTTATGTATTATTAAATAGAAAAAATTCAGTATATTTTTCCAGTCTTATAAGAAAGCTTAGTAAAAACTAAGTTCTGGGGGCCAGCAGATGGTGTAATGGTTATGTAGCAGGGCTCCTACATAACCGACCATAGTTCGAGTCCCGGACAAGGTGGCTTGAAAATCATGCCAGGCGTGTGTGCGCGTACGTGCCCAAAATCCCAGGAGGAGAATGGAGAAAGGATGGTGACATAGTTGTCCCCCAGAGGATTATTTCTCACTTTGCCTCTCACTGTCTCTGTCTCTCTTTGGCGAGTGCATATGCCCTATGGCAAAAATTGCTTAATAAAAAAATGAAGTTCTGCCTTGCCTTATTGAGTAGAAGGCAGATCTTGGTAAGAAATGGAAGGTGTGTGTATGGCTGAAGAAGCAAATGCTGAGAAAGGAGAGCTTCCAAATACATACATGAGCTCCAGGAAGGATAATGGGTAAGGGCTCCGTAGCGCTGCTCTCTGGTTTTCATGCTTGGTGTTTGCAATTTCCTAGCGTTCTAACTGCAGATGTTCTTCCTTCTAGAATTCTATGAAGAAATTCTTTCGCTGGCATATAGTTTAACCTGTCACAGTATTTCCCCTCAGATGTGGCAGCTTCTAGGCATATTATATGAAGTTTTTCAGCAAGATTGCTTTGAATACTTTACAGGTATGGCTATGACCCTGTAACTTTTTTGCTTTTTCAAGTCTAGTTATAAATTCCTTTGACCCTTGAAATAAAAATAGATACGATTCTGGGAGTCATCAGGAAATGTCTTATCTTCCTGTCACGTAAAGGATGAGCTGTTTGCAACAGTGTTTTTCAGCTCCTGTTATGTTGGCAGAAGAGCTAGACTATATTTCTTATTAGATCTTAAGTTAGTTTGCAACTAGAGCCTATATCTATACTTAAATCCATAAAGATTTCCTGAGCACCAATTATACTTCAGGCACTGTTTTAAGCCCAGCAAGACAGTGTGAGCAAAACGGACAGCCCTTGCCTTTGGAAGCTTACTTGTATAGGGGGAGGGAGGGTGGGTGGGACACACTCAACCAGACTAGCAAGAAAATATATAGCACGTCAGGTGGTGTTGAGTGCAAGGAAGAAAAGGAAAGAATTTGGAACAGCTACTACAATAGATGATGAGCATTTTCATCTCTTTGTGTTTTTCTCATCTATTGGGTTGTCTGAAAATACACATAGCTTTTCCAACGACATAATAGGGAAGGTGTGTCACTTTGATTTCTAGCATTTTTTGGTAGCGAGGGATGATAGTAACCTGTGGGTGCTACAGAAATGTGGTTTCAGTGGAAATAATGTATTTCCACTTTGGTAAGTCTCATTTGGATTTTGAATTTCTTTTCCAGACATGATGCCTCTCCTGCATAATTATGTGACAATAGATACAAATACTTTACTATCAAATCCAAAGCATTTAGAAATCCTTTTTACAATGTGTAGAAAGGTAAGCAAGTCCTAATCACTTGTCCCTGTGGTTCTTACTAATGTTTGAATACTTTACTTGAGGACATTTTCAGTGTTTCTCATACATTTAGTTTTATTATTTTCATCAACATGTTTGTCCTTTTTATTTTCCAAAGGACTTTGGAATTGTCATAACTTAAAAGTTTTGCATTGTATGTTGTACTTAGAGTGTTTACCAGTTTTGTATCTATGTACTTTATAATTTTCAGGGTAAATACTTTTCTGTGTGTGTGTGTGTGTGTGTGTGTGTGTGTATTTTTCCTTTCAAAAATTTAAACTTGCTCCTTGACTGAGGAAAAGTGCTGGGCAGACCCTGTCACTAAGTGATTAAGGGAGCCAGATTCCTTTCCTGGCCAATTGTGGTTTGAGAAGATACACTGGGCATGGGTGCCTAAAAGTCCCAGCAGGACTGACAAATAGAGAAGGGATTGCAGCACGGCCACGCTCTTTGGGAGGTGCTTTCTCTCACTTCCCCTCTCTCTGTCTCTTTGTCTTTCTCTGGGGATCATACATACTCTCTGGCAACTTAAAGAAAAAGTAAAAGTGCTGGGAAAATGAACCGTCTAGTTTGTCAGTTAGTGACAGAGTGGCACTGATCTTTTTTCTTTAATTGGGTATGTGTGTTGGAAACCATTACATGTAAATAACACGAAGGTAAACAGTATTAACAGGATCTGGTTAGGGGCTCTGAACTCATCTTCAGTATATCTGGATTAAGTCCCAGTTCAGTTATAAAAAGCTTGGGAAATTTTGGCGAGTCAGTAAACTTGTCACATGTAAACTGAAGGAGCTGACTTCTCATTTAGTTCTGAAATAACCCATCTATTGGGTCATCGAGAAAGTCATGACACATTTTTGCATAGAAAAGCACAGGAAAATATGTCATGACTTTTCCTATGACCTAATAGTTTAATCATCATTGTCTGGCAACTTTCAGTTTTCCCTAAATTATAGCAATAGCTGTTAGGGAGGGAGAGGGTGAAAAGAAGCAACAAACAGAAAATAGTCTCGTGTATTTCCTTGGTAACTCATACCTGCTCATCAAGTAGTTAACCTATGCTTGATATTCTTTTTTTTTTTTTTTTTTTTTTTTTTTAAGGGTTTTTGCTCAAAAAATTTTTTAGAGGTTTTTGCTACAGGGTGCGTGCGCTCACCAGACAGACAGAGACAGAGAGACAGAAAGCCAGAAATCACCCCCCAGGGGGGATGGCCATGCCGCAATCCCTTGTCCTCCATTCTCTTCTCGGGATCTTGGGCACGCACGCACAGGTGCCTAGCATGAGTCTTAAGCCACCGGTACACAAACCACGGTCAACTACATGGGAATCCAGCAACATAGCCGTTAATGCTAACTGCTGGCCCCCATATTCTTGCTTTTAATAGTAGCTAGTATTTATGACTTCTTACTATATACCACATGTTTTAATCCATTTCTTGTTACTGCCACAGAAAAGCACAAACTGGGTAATTTATAAAGAATAAAAATGTATTGAGCTCATGATTCTGAAGGTCCAAGGAGTGCATCTGGTGAGGGCCTTCTTGCTGGAGGGAGAGGACTTTCCTTAGAATCCTGATGCAGACCGTCATGGCAGGAGGCCAAGAGCATGCATCAGCCTTGTCCTCTGTCCCTTTTCTTCTCAAGCACCAGTTCAGTCATGCAGTCCCTGCCCTGATGACCTTGCCTAATCCTAATTACCTCCCAAAGGCCCCACCTCTTAATATCATACTTGGATTATGTTCCCAATCTTTAATACTGTCGGAGTAGCAACCATTGTTCAACACATGAATTTTGGGAGCCCTCTTTCAAATCATAGTACCAGGTATTCCCCACGTGCTTTATATACATTAATTTATTTAAGCCTTACAACATTATGGAGAAATGCCAGTTTAATCAATGAGGAAACTGAAACATAACTTCTTGTTCTATGACCGAGGTGTAGTAAGTTACCCTAAATCACATAGCTACTATGTGTTAGAGCCAGATTTGAACCTAGGTAGTCTGTCTCCAGAGCCCATTTTTAAAATCACGAGATTTATTTTGTTTCTTTTCTTTCTGTCAACCAAAAATAAAACAACACAGACACAAAACCCCTAAGAAAACGCAATTTTGGAAAAAAAAAATGATATTGGCTTTCCTTTGTGTGTCATGACCATGAGGTAGTTCTATTACCATTCTCATTTTACAGATGGACATAGTAAGTCACAGAGGCTAGATAGCTCTTCTAAACACACAGCTAATAAGTGGCCGAGGTGAAATTTGAACCAGGCATTCTGATTCCAGAGCCCATTCACATTGAAAAGTTTGATCTTAATACACTGCCTAGAGGCTGAAATTTAAATGATGTAAATATGGTTGATTTTTGGCTTTGCCTACTTTTTTTTGCTTATGTCAGCTCACTGTTTTGCAGCTTTGACACGTTTTACGCTGTTTTTTTTTTTCTTCTTTGTGGATATAGGCACTTAAAATCTCTACTTCATTTTAATGACCCTTTGGGAAGGAATGGAATTAAATAGAAATGTTCTTTCTGTCATTTTTAAGGGGAATTGCTTTGTAATTGTTTTTTCTTAAATTATATTTTTCTATGAAATTAAGTTTTCAGATCTATAAAAATAAAGTGCTCTCCATGATACGTTTTTATTTTATTTTATTTTGTAAAGATTTTTGCCATAGGGTATGTGCAGTCACTGGAGAGGGAGGGAGGGAGAGGGGGGGGGAGAGAGAGAGAGAGAAAGTGAGAAATTAACCACAGGAGAGTTATGGGGTTCAGGAGAGGGCGGGAGGGGGAGAGGGGGGGAGAGAGAGAGAGAAAGTGAGAAATTAACCACAGGAGTGAGGTCCACACCGCAATCCCTTTTCCTCCATTCTTCTCTTGGGATTTGGGCATACATGCGTACACGCCTGGTGAGATTTTCAAACTGCTGTGTCTGGGACTCGGCTGTGTGGGAGTCCAGTGCCTTAATCACGGCACAATCTGCCGACCCTGGTATTCTATTTCTAGTTAGTCTTTTGTCTATCTTTATATCTCTTTCATTCCTAATATCTTATTATTTCTTTTTTTTAAAAGAGACTTTTGCTTTTGGGTGCATGCACTTGCCAGAGAGAAGGAGAAAGGCAGAGAGATAGAATGCGAGAAATCAGCCCCTAGGGAGGATGACCTTGCCACAATCCCATTACCATTCTCCTTTTGGGATCTTGGGCATTCACATACATGTACCTGTTGTGATTTTCAAGTCACTGGGTTTAGCACTCAAACTGTGGTTGGCCACGTAGGGAGTCCAGTACCTTAACCACTATGCCACCTCATTCCTAATATCTTTATTTTTGCTTTCTTTGCTTTTTAAAAATGGTTTTAGAAATAAAGCCTTTTTTAAAAATATTTATTGATATTATTATGTTTAAATTTGCTGTAGGGTATATGTGCTTATTAGAGTGAGACAGAGAGAGAAAGAAAGTGAGAAAGCAAACCATTAGGTCTGGGATTTGTACTGCAGTCAGCCATGCGGGTGTCCAGCACACCACCTGTTGACCCCTAAGGCTTTTTTCCCTTTTTAATGAATTTGCTTTTGATTTCTCTGTGTTACCTCTTTTTGTCTGTATTGTAAATTTATGCTGTTGCCTTTATTTCTTTTTTTCTTGGGGTTAAGTATATTTTTGTGTATAGACAATGAATTCATTAATATGTCCATCTTTTTAAACTTCAAAGCTAAGCATGTGCTACTCTAGGAACCTCTCTTCTGGGAATCTTACTATATGGCAGCTATATTTAGAATTTTATATGTGAACATGTACACCATGGACTTGTTTATAATAATGAAAACATAGAATAGACAATAGGAAAACAGTCTGGTAACTTTGTTGTATTAATCTATGTTACTGTATAGTCCTAAATAGTTTATAGTGTACATGAAAAAATGTTTTTAATTAGAAGTCAAGGGACCGGCAGATGGCATATTGGCTACATCGCTAGACTCCCACATGGCCAACTGTGGTTCGAGTCCTGGACCCAGTGGCTTGAAACATGCCTTCATGAGTGCATGCATGCCCAAAATTCCAAGAGAAGAATGGAAGAGAAGGGGTTGTGGCATGGCCATCCCCACTGAGGGATGATTTCTTACTTTCTGTCTCTCTGTCTCTGAATCTCCAGTGAGCATGTGTACCCTGTAGCAAAAACCTCTCAAAAAAAAAAAGAAAAAAAAATAGAAGTCAATATGAGGAGATTGAAAGGTATATAATATTGAATTATGTTTTATGAAAAAATGAATGCATATGTACAAGAGTTCAAAAGAAACAAAAAAATAGTTTATTTCATTGCATTAAATGAAGGTTATTTTGTTTTCTTTTTTCGTTTTGTTGTTTTGTTTTGGTGCCTTTTAAAAAATAATTCTTTATTTTTAATTTTATTTTTTTGTTTATTTAAAATTTGACCACACACACACACACACAGAGAGAGAGAGAGAGAGAGAGAGAGAGAGAGAGAGAGAAAGAAAGTGAGAAAGCAAACCAGGTCTCAGACTTGAACCGTGGTTGACCATGTAGGAGTGTCCAGCACCTTAACCATCACACCACCTGCTGGTCCCTTGTTTTGATGCCTTTTAGGAGAAGCTTTAGTTATCTGAACAGTTAACTCCTGTAGCCTACTTCATTATTCTAAAGTCAAATTAAGTGAATTATTACTCCTTATAAGGAATTAGAACAGATCAAGAAGATACACTTTTGACTTTCTTTCTCTGGGTTAGAAAGGTAAATTTGCAAAGCAAAGAAACCTGCAATTCCTGTGGCTGAATTTATATGGGATGTTTGCGCCATGTGGCCTGACTAAACCCCTATAGTACTGCATCCTGCTGAGCTGAGTTGTAATCACTGCAGGTGCTGTGTGGGGATGCAGGAGAAGACGCAGAATGCCATGCAGCCAAGCTTCTTGAGGTCATCATTCTTCAGTGCAAAGGAAGGGGAATTGATCAGGTAATGTATGTCTGGAAAGCATCTTACTCAACGTTTACTTATAAAATTTATGTGTTTCAAGTTTGTACGTCTGATTGACATTTTATTTCTTCTAAGATGGAAAATTTAAAAAGCCTGTTGTTGATGATCTTTAAACATTTGGTAGAATTTAGCAGTGAAGCTATCTGGGCTTGGTATTTTCTTTTGAGATAGTTTTTTTTAAACATTTAAAAAATAATTATTTAATTAAATTTATTATTATTATTTAATTTGCTAAAGGGCACATTGGCTTATGAGAGAACATAAGCCACCAGGTTCAGCACTCAAACAGTGGTTGATCATGTAGTAGTCCAGCATCCTTACCACCATGCCACCTGCTGTCCCCAAATCCTTTCATTTTTAAAGCCATTCAAATAATTCTTTTTGGTTTATTTATTTATTTATTTATTTATTTTTAAGAGAGATATTTTGCTATAGTGTACGTGTGCTTGCCAGAGAGAGAGAGAAAGACAGAGAGAAAGAAAGTGAGAAATCATCCTCCGGGGGGATGGCCACACTGCAATCCTGTCTCCTTAATCCTGGGATTTTGGGCACGCACTCACATGTGCCTAGTGCTGATTTGAAGCCGCCGGGTTTGGGACTAGAACTGGTCCACTTTGTGAGAGTCCAGCAACATAACCATTATGCCATCTGCTGGTTCCTATTTATTTTATTTTAATCTTGATATTTAGAGATTACTTTTTCAAAAAAACTTAATATATAGACCATATATAGAATTCTAAAGTCTAATTTACAAAATAAGGTATAATCAGGGAAATCTATCTTCCATCTCTGTCCTCTCTACCCTCATTCTTCTTCTTCATTACTTTTTTTTTAAACTTAATTTAATTTTATTCATTGTCATTATTTTATTTTTTTTAAAGTTGACCAGAGAGAGAGGGAGGGAGGGAAAGTGAGAAAGCAAGCTGCCAGGTCTGAGACTCAAACTCAAAATATATTTGTTAAAATAAAACTTTAGTTTAAAGACATCCCATGAAGAGCTTTTAAAATTTAGTTCACATTTTCTTGTGGTTTCATTGATCCACTGCTAATTAGCATGCTAATGACTTTTCATACAGCTTTTATATGTGTTATGCTATGAAGGCAGAGCACAGAATAACACTGTATCAGAATGAGAAGAAATCAGTGTAGAATTAATCAGACTAGTTATCTCTTTGTAAAATCTCACTCCAAAGTATCACATATAGTCAGTCATGTGTTTTAATATGTCATCCTAAATAAGATTAATATTCTGCTAATCCTGAGGTGTATGTAGTTTAGCCCATGAATGAAAACAGTAAATTTAATGCTTACATTTCAACCATAAACCTTGATTTTTAAAGTTTAATTTTAAAAGAGGCTTATATCAAGAACTTAGAATTTTGAGATTAGTAAGTGGCACAGTGGTTAAAGGCACTGAGTTCTCACATGGCTGACCGCAGTTCGAGTCCCAGATCTGGCGGCTTGCTTTCTCACTTTCTCTCTCTCTCTCTGTCTCTCTCTGGTCAAATTAAAATACATACATACATACACAAAGTTAAAATAATTCATTATAAAAACTCAGAATTTATTTTATTTAAATTATTTCATCCCATCCTGTTTAATTGATTGATAATAATTACTAGGAAATGTTTCTAATAAAATTTATAGAGTTTTTCAATATTGCACTTTAGGGAACCAGCAGTTAGCGTAATGGCTATGTCGCTGGACTCCCATGTAGTCGACCGCGGTTCGCGTCCCAGACCTGGTGGCTTAAAACTCATGCCGGGCGTGTATGCGTGCGTGCCCAGGATCCCGAGAGGAGAATGGAGGAGAAGGGATTGCGGCGTGACCATCCCCCCTGGGGGGTGATTTCTCGCCTTCTGTCTCTATGTTTCTGTCTGTCTGGCGAGCGCATGCGCCCTATAGCAAAAACCTCTCCAAAAAAGAAAAAAAAATTGCACTTTACAATTGGAGTCGGATGCTTTTATTTTAATATATGGGGTCTACCATTTTTTTTCTCGTCTTTATCATCTTTCACCTAGGCCAACAGGAGTTTTCTTTCTCAGGAGATACTCCAGTTACATTTATTCTCAGTCACATTCATTTATTTCCAGTTAGATTTGTCAGGAAAAATAAATCTCACCTTAGTAATTTTACTTTAACTGTAGAAGTGGCTGAATTCACATTTGGATTCTTGCCACTATTTGAGTGAGGACTGTTCTAGGCCAATGTGCAGTTAGTTCTGATCTGCGTTGAAAGGAAGATATCCTGGCAGTGTTACATGGCTTCTTTTTGTCTGTTTAGTCTGTGGGTTTTATGGGATTCTAAATCTTTTAAATTACTCTAAAAACAATTTAAAAAAGCAAAGTTCTGTTGTCATTAAGATTCTTAGTTATTAATACTCTTTGCCAACATTCAGCTTACTATAAAATGTTACTTGGCTGCTTTGTGTATGATGGACTCTCTCTGTTTTTGTCCTCTAGTGCATTCCACTCTTTGTTCAGCTTGTCTTGGAGAGATTAACCCGAGGGGTCAAAACAAGTGAGCTGCGCACCATGTGTCTGCAGGTGGCCATCGCCGCCTTGTACTACAACCCGGACCTGCTGCTGCACACGCTAGAGCGGATCCAGCTGCCTCACAACCCTGGGCCGATCACTGTGCAGTTTATCAACCAGTGGATGAATGACACAGATTGCTTCCTTGGGTATGTGTCTTTTGGGTTTTACATTGCTCTTCTGTTTCTATGAAGTTTAATGTTTAATTTAAATTTTTCTTTTCTTTTTCTTTTTTTTTTTTGGTCATACGGTGCGTGTGCTTGTAGGAAAGAGAAACCACCCCCCCCCGGGGGGATGATCAGGCCACAGTCCCTTCTCCTCTTGGGATTCGAGGCACACATGTACACACATCCATTCAATGTGATTTTTTTCAAGTCGTTGCATCTTGAACTTGAACTGTGTTAGGTCATAAGGAAATTCCATGCCTTAACTACTATGCCACGTGCTGGTCCTGAAATTTACTTTTCAATATACACCTATGATAGCATGTACAAAGATCATTTTCATATCTTAGGAATTTTTTCTTTTTTAATTTGCCAAAAGGTATGTGTGTGCTCTCCAGAGAGAGACAGAGAGACAGGGGGAAGGAGAAAGCACCCCCAAGTGGAATGTGCTCTTGCTGCAATCCCTTTCCCTCATTTCTGCTTCCTGGTGGGATTTTGAGTATGTGCACATACGTGCTTGGTGTGTTTCTCAAGTTGCTGGTCTGGCCTTTGAACTAGCTGGCTATGAGGAGATCAGACTCTTTTAACTACTAGGTCATGAGGCCAGCCCAGGAATTATTTTTGGTATCTTATTAACATGATACTTAAGTTTTAGAGAATTAAGAATATATTTCAGCAGTATAATCTAGTGTAAAGAACGCAGGCTCCGAAAGTGAGATATAGCTCTTCCCCACTTTGATTTGACTAATGTGTATTGTTACTTCCCCAGGCAATACGAATTCAGTGTCTTTCTAGCTTTCATGACTATTACATGTCTGCAGGCAGAAACATACTACATGAGTCAGGTTTCTAAGGAATGTACCAATCTGGCAAGATACAATGTAGTGTCTCAGAATATTTCACTCTTGGCAGATGTCATGGGAGCCTGTTTTCAACATGAGCGAGTGACTTCATGTGAAGCACTGTATTAGTTTTCAAATATGGGGACAGTGACGTCCCAAATGTGATATGCCCTCCTCAAGTCACCTAGGACATATTAGTGACTGCATTGTGCTAGAATTTGAGCTAGGTCACTACCTACTTAGTTTTACAACAGTGGAAATAGCTAGTGTGTGGTTTTTTTTTTAGCTTTACAAGATGTCATTTAGCAAAACTTGTTTAGGGGAATAGATTTCCAGCAGTAGTCGGAAGGACACGGGGTGGGTGGGAGACGATGGAGGTCTCTATTAGAACGGTAGAATAGGAATGGAAGAATAGATTTACAAGTTGTTATGTATGTTCTAATTTTCCTGCTTGTAGGAGATGGGAGGTTGTCCCTGATTGAGATTTATTATTAAAACCTTGAGGGGAAGAACATACTTTAAAAAGAAATTGTACATAAAATTATCTCTAACAAAGATTTAGGGAGTGGAAATTTGGTCCTTCAAAATTATGTGGCTGATAGCTTATGCCTTTATTAGCATCCGTCAACAGTTGTTCAGAGCTAGCCAGGCTTTCTCTCTTAGTTCTGGCATAGACTGGGCATCCCTGGATTGTACTTCCTCAGAGTCTTCAGCAGCCCACTGGATAATTGTCCTGGAAGTGATCCACACAACTCCTGAGGGTACTGCTAGTAGGGCTACGCAGATGAGGAAGCCCTTTGGTCAAGTTCAGTACCTGTTAGAGCATACTACTTGGGCATTAGTAACTTGAATAATGCAAGGAATGAAAGCAGTGAAGAGGCTTGTTTATTATATATTCATCACTGGGTTTGTTCTATGTTAATTGTCATTTTAAATGAATTGAATCTCTGCAAGTTTTTTTTTTTTTTAATGCTGCAGGGTGCATGTGCATGTGTGAGAGAAAGAGACAGTAAAGAGAGAGGAAGTGCCCCCTAGGGGGTCTGATCGTACAGCTATCCTGTTTCCTCCAATCCTCCCTCCCTCCTGTTAGGTTCTGGGCATGTGCATGTATAGGTGCCTGGCATGTTTTTCAAGTGGTTGAGTCTGGGACTCAAATCTTGGTCAGTCTAGTGGGATCTGGCTGCTTCTGTGCATTGCTTAACTCTGCTGTGGAGCTGGCCCCATGCTTGGAATTTCGAGACTTACACCAATATACTGTGGAAGTCTCTTAATCCTTAGTATGCTTAGTTTTGAACAACTTAAAAGAAATATCTAGTAGAAAAAAATACATCTAATATATAGAACAAACGTTTTCCTTGAGAATTAAATTTTTCTTATTCTATTTATAGGAGAGTACTTTTATGGATTTACTTATAGCCACTAAACCCAGCTTCCTAGATGCTGAAGTTTGTTTGTTTGTTTATTTCTTTCACGAGTTAGAAAGACAGGGAGAGAGAGACAGCATCGCTAACTGGGTCTTGATGTCACGATCTACCCCCACCCAGCCTCAGCCAGCTCTGGTTGATGGGCCCGTGCATGCCTGATGTACTGAGGCAGGTCTCAGCATGAACCCAGAACCTTACCACATGGGTCCGTCTTGAAGAGCATCAAATTTTCTGCTGTGCTGCCATCCAACTCCTAGATGATGAAACAGCTTTTGGCACCTAGGATTTGTATATGTGCCAAGAAACCTTGTAGACCAATCTAATGACATGAAAGTCTAAGAAATTCTTTTTTCTTCTTTAAAGAGAGAGATATTTGCTATGGGGTTTGTGCACTTACTGAAAAGAGAGACACAGAAAGTGAAAACTCACCCTGAGTGGATGGCCACGCCACAGTCCCTTCTCCATTCTCTCTTGGGATGTTAGGCATGCATGCATGTATACCCACCACAAGTTTTTTTTTTTTTTTAAAGAGGTTTTTGCTATAGGGCACGTGCAC